CAAACACCAAATGCATGTTCATGGTGTATCACATACTATCCACTATATGCATATTCATGATATAGACTATGTATGTGTATGGAACATGCATGTATGCACTACATATTTTCCTGTGGACTGGATTTTGCTACAGGCTCACAGGAACCGTTTTCTGTGTCTGAGCTAAACATCACCGAATCATCCTCCACGGCTCTTCTATTCCCCCCAAGTCCCCAGAAAGATGCTAGTGACCCTTGGGACAACTATTTCTCATAAGATAAATATTCACCCCATCTCCTCTCTCCACTGTTCTGATCCTGGCTACCACCTGGCCTGACGGTCTCCTGAGCATACGCCTTCCCATGTATCTCTCATATAGTAGATTACTCTAAAATCCTCTACTTAAAGACCTTTGTCTGAAGGCTATCTGTAATACAAGTATTGCTAACATACTTCAAGGTGGGAAACGACATACTTTCCCTCTATCACACAGACAACATGTGACACTTCCCTCGTTGCACAGCATTGGACCGGAGCCTTCGAGCAGTACTTTCTGACAGAAAGGAGGGCTATCCTAAGTAGGAAGGTGCTAGTCAAGTTGCTCTCACTCAGAGATGCACACAGGGCTGTGTTGAGCAGAGGAGAATTCAGTAAGGTTATAGAGTACAAATCAATACAGAGAGGCCAACTGCATTTCTACGGATTAGCAAAAATGAAATCAGGAAAATCAATTCTATTCACAATGGCATCAAGAGAGTAGAAACCTGCTACTTCTCCCGTTCAAGATGGAGCATCAAGGCTAAGGTGGAGCTCCACACAACCTGTGACCTGAGGTGTGAAAGAGATACGGCAACTTTGGAAACTAAGACAAAAAGTTCTATGGCACTCAAGACTTCCTCCAGAAGACGCCTGCCCAGCCAGTCAGGCTCCATTAAGAGAAAGGTTAGCAGGATGTTGACAGAGAGATGCAGCTTAAAATAAGCTTTAAGGAAGTCACTTCAACCACGAGCAGGGTGAAAATTGTGGGGGGAAGTGAAGAAATCTTGCATTTGAAGACAGGAGAAAAGAAGTGACATCAGGAAAGCTTAAAAATAAAAAGCATCAAACACCGGGGATGAGTAAGCACACTAGTTACAGCCTGGAAGGGGAGCGGGCGAAGCTCTGCTGCTGAAGAGTGCAGTCCTGTTAGGAACTCTCAAAAACCCGGTGATGTTGTAGGAATAAGAGCCATCCATTAACAATGTCATTGATATATTAACATAGAGAAGCTGGCAAAGGCCACCTGGATAAATACAATCCGGAAAAAAAAAGGTGGGGGTGGGGGTGGGTAGGATGAAAATACTAATATCTAAGTAAAATTAAAGGCAAAAGAAATCATTGGATAAGGAAGGTAATTTTTATATCAGGAAAATAAAAAATCACAGTGATTTTTTATGTTTAAAAATATTTACCAGGAGCTGGGGAAATGGTTCAGTGGCTAAGACCATATTGACCTCACAGAAGACCGAGTTCAGTTTTCAGCACTCATGTTAGGCAACTCACATCTGCTTGTAACTCCAACTCAGGAAATCAAATGCCCTCTCCTGGCCTCGATGGGCACTTGAACTCACAGCACATGAATGCAAGCATACATGCATACATGCATGAACACACACATACGTAGAAACACACACTTAGAAATAATGAATATAATTCATTTTAAAAAGGATTGAGCTAGAGAGATGGTTCACTGGGCAGGAACCATTGCTTTGCAAGCATGAGGGCCTGCATTTGAATCCCCAGCACAAGCCTGTGACCTCAGTGCTATCGGGAAGTGGAGACAAGAAGCTCTCTGGGGCTTGTTGGCTACCTGCCATCAAGTTCCAGGTTCAGTGAGACACCCACTCAGGCTCCAATGAGTCAGGCAGAGAACAATAGAGCCTGATATCTTCTTCTGACATCTCTGCATGCAGGAGTACTCACATACACGTGTGTGTTTACCACACATGCCATACCGCACACATGACAATGTAAAAAAATTATGTCTAGGCTGCAGATACTGTATCAAAACAGAGAAAGTGTTTTAAAACTAATACATAGTGGTAATGACAACTCTGTAAGCCTGAGACTGGTCCATTGCTTATCTTGATGAATATCAATTAAACAATAAATAAGAAATTAGAAAAACCCCAGAGGATTAATAACATAAATTTTCATCCTTCAATGCAAAATATTTGATTTTTTCCAATACACACAGAACATTTATAAAATATGGTCTTAAAAGGAAGAAGGAAAATCAACAATCTCCTAAAGTCGAAAGGCATAATCCAATCATAATGCAATAAAACTAGATCATAAGTTTTAAGAGAATACACAGATAATACTTGAAATTCTGAGGAGAAGCCTCCAGAGTCAAAGCAAGAACAAAACTGCAATTAGAAACTCTTTCTGAAATAACAACTACCCGTCAAAATTTACAGGATATGGTCAAAGTTGCACTTAGGGGAAAAATGCCTCTTAATGCTTTTATTATCAAACAAGAAATAATGGGACTAATTCAATTCATGAAACCCGCAAAGGGCAACGTCAGCCTAAGGTAAGTGGGAGAAAAGAATGGAGAAAGATAAAAGCAGAAATCAATATGTTAGATAATGGAGAAAGAATAAAATTGATAGCCCCAGCACTGGGGGTTTTAAAAGACCAATAAAACAGGAAAATGTCTGTGAGTCTGAGGGGATGGAAAGATCATGGGAGCCCACAAAAAAAGAGAGGCAGGAGGGCGCCATGAGGACAGATCACACAGTCCTAGGCCCTTCTGGGATGGTAGCTGATTTCCTCGACACACACAAAGATGACAACTGAATCGTGAATGAGAAAACCTGAGGATACCAGTTGGCTTTAATGTGAAGACTCAGAAGAACCAGAGAGTCCCCATCTCCAGAAGCACCAACCATCCTGTCCCAGGATGGCACACTCCCGTGTCCTCTGGGTTCATTCCTCCTGGCTTGCCCGAGTGTCTGAGCTCCCAGGCAGCCAAGGGAGCTCAGGGCAGAGGCATCCTTCCAATTCTCCCTCCTAATGGATGCTGCCAGACTCTGGCTTCTTCTGAAATGAACATCACAAATGTGACAAGGTGGGAAGCCCACCATTGGTGGGGGTAACCTACCAACGAACACCCAGAGCCAGGTAGCCAGATGAGCCTCCTCAGGGTGGGCTGCCTGTGGCCTGGAAACTTTCCCTAGACATCCACAAAAGACAGCTGTCATATGTCCCTTTCAGTGGCCCTCCCTGACCTCCCTACAAAATCCACTCCCACAAGCTACCCTTGTGCTGCTTTGCCTGTACAGTGTCCACTGAGATAGCCCATGCCTGTCTCCACATTAGCATGTGAATTCCATGGTGACAGTGGCTTTCATCTACTGGCTGGTATGCTTCCCCCAACACTCAGGACAGCACTAGTACAAAACAGATATTCACAGAATATTTGCTGAATGTATGAATGAAAGAGGACTTTAGTTCCTTTAACAAGGTTTCATTAAATACCACTTGTATGCCACACTGTGTGTAATAACAACAGATAAGCCCTGTCATGCCTGGAAGACACTACCCTACCTCTGCTGTACTCTCTGGCTAGGGGAATCACCTTGCACATAAGGTATGCAGAAACACCCTTGAGACAGCCTAGAGGGTAAGCCTGAGACAAACATGATCACTCCAAACACCCCAGAACTTGGCTGGTGAACCAGTAACTCGTTAGGTCTCTGAGAAACTTGGAAGTTTAAGTGAGAAGGCAGAGCCAAATATTACTTGTGATGGTGCAGAGTAGATCTCCAGGTCAATGAAACACAGAAAGCTGTTGTGGTGGGGCTCTCTGCCCACAAGTCTGTCATTCCTACAGAGGGAGATGCTCTCCAACCATCTTCTCCTCTGTGACCTCCTTGTCCTGGGAGTCAATGCAGCGGCATAGCTCTTAGTGGCCATCTCAGCCTCTCTCTGGTTTGAACTTCCATTGGGAATGATAGAGTTAGAGAGGATGAGAGCCATCTCAGTGTCTCAATTCTAGTCCCACAATCAAGGTATCCAAATGCAAGGACTATTTCAGGATGTCTCCATGGTTCCAGACCCATGCTCTGTGGAAGTATCTCCCATCACTCACAGTTGTCAGCTCCACATGACTTGGGGCCAGATGAAAATACAAGCATTTTCTCTGTGTGTTGAGGGTATACCCAACAGGCAGGCAGGCAGGCAGGCAGGCAGGCAGGCAGGCAGGCAGACAAAGATATACTTATGCTTGCAAAAGCAGTTTTCATTAAAAGACAGAATTATCTATAACTTCTTCGTTTTCTACCTAGTTTCCCCAAGTGTCTGACACAGCCATGCCAATCATATTCTAACAACGCAGGATGAAGGAATTGGGAGCCTTAAAGAAAACTGGGAAGGTAGGCATGGTGAGGGAGGCTTACCTGTAACCCCAGCACTCAGGGGACTGAGGCAAGAGGTTTACAAGTTTGAGGTACTGGGCTGCAATAGCAAAACCTTGTTATAAAAACAGCAGCAAGCAAGCAGAGATGTTGAGGGAGGACCCCATAGAAAGGAAGTCAATGCCCCACATAAGACGGGATCCATTAACATTTGGGGAGGGGAGGAGCTCACAAGGCCCCGCCCCTTCCTGAGGATTTCAGGCAGTTAATAATTGCTGGAGGTGAGAAAGATGCATTTTCTTTGGTGGTGCAGGCACTGGTAAGGTGTCCAATGCTACTTCTATCACGCTCATGCTCTGATAAGTAACCCTGACTTAAGTCTTTGGTTCATACATATATAAAGAGAGACATGTGAGAAATGAAAGTAGAAGACTGACTGGAAGGTATAAAGGGGTCAATGGGAGTAGGAGAGGGACAACAGAGCACTTATGATCAAAGTGCATTAATATATGTAATTAATATAGGCTGCTGTAAACTTAAATAATAAAGCAGAACCCCTCTGTTCACCAAGCTTGGCTCAAGCCCAGTTGCTTGCCACAGGGAGGAGAGGGAGAATGGTACCTTGTTCGAAGGTTCTCCGCCTGGGGTGGGCCATCAAACACTGATAGGACATCAAAGTCCTCTTCTAGGGCAAAGGACTGGAACACGAGCTGGATCCTGTGCTGGTCCTCCGCAGTGATGGTCCACGTGCAGTTGGCATAGTTGGGGTAGCCGTAAGGGAACCCTGGGCTCTCCACTGTGCCATTGGGACCCTGGAGATGGAATGTGCAGTTCTGGCCTGGAAGAGAGAAAGGAAAAAAGGTCAGTGTGGCCATTAGGACCTTCATGAAGTTTCCAAGAGGAGGAAGTACCAGGTCAAAGAACCATCACTTTACCAAGGGATTCCCATGGGCTGCCCTGGGACTGGTACCCAGCCTGTCGCCGGGTGATACATTGTGTTCAGTTATATCGAAGCTTCAGGACAGCTCAATAGGATGAAAACTAATGCTCATAGCTTAAGGTCAGACACAACCACAACCAGACTGCATTATAGACCTTTCGACCAAGCCAGGGGGCCATCTCAAACCTCTTCTGTTGCCTATAGCTTCACTATTCTCAGCTAATGGCCCCACCTCCACCCCAACCCCAGCTAGAAAAATATAAGCCACCAGTGCATCTGCCTCACACTGTCATCCTTTCTCCTCCATCTAAATGGGATCACTGCAGTTACACACTTTCTGGCCCTTTAAGGACACTTCTTGTACATGCCCCTGTTGTTCCCTCCCCACTGGGGTTTTTCATGTCAAATGTGTTCCAGACTCTACCTTTCATAAAAACAACCCCACTCCACTCCTTCCGCAGCCCGGCTCTCTCCCCTCCTCCACAGCCAGACCAATTGGAAGCACAGCCTGCCTCCTGATTCTTCTCTATGCTCAACAGTTCTGCCTTACTGTCTCTACATGTCTACCTGAGAGCAGGGACAGCAAGGTCACAGACCAGATGTGCCAGGGCTATGCAACCCATCTTCTTGCTAAGTGACCTCTTTGAGCTCCTCACACCATTCAGCTGCCACAGCTCAGGCTGTACTCTGTGCTTGCCAGCTGTAAATCTGGCTCAAAGAGAGCTTCAGATGGATAGTGAGTCAGGGTAGGAAGGCTTGGAGAGGTAGTGCTTCTACTTGGTACTCCTGTGCTATTGACACTGCTGATGGAGTTGAACCTCACTAACAGCAGCCACGCTGTGGCTTCCTCTCATACCCCGTACGCTCTTCCTCTCAGCTGATGGCTCTGCTTCCTTTCTAGACTCAATGATGGAGTCTTTTGTCTCTGCCTAGCCCAGAGGACTTCTCATTCATTGTTGACAGGGTACAACTGCACAGTGCAAGTCAGTTGCCATCTCTGGGCTCCGGGCTTGACTCCTTTGGGATAAAGCACCCATTCTTTCCTTGCCTGCTGCTCCTTCACTTAGGGCATGGGATAGTGTCCCCACCACAAAGTCTAAATAAGATTGGAAGTGACACCTTTCTCTTCACAGCCCTGTGGCTAGTGTCTCTGTCTCTCTCTCACTTCTATACCAAGCTCTTCCTTGGACTCCCGACTCTCAGTCATGTACTCTGCCCTTACCAATCTCTTTCCATTTAGAGGTATCCTTTCAAGACAGAGCTAGGACTGAGTCACCCCCATCACCACTGCCTCCAGCATTCAGTGGTTTCTCCCTGATCATCAATAAGGAAAGGAAACTAATGTCTACAGGGGTCTCTACATGGTTTGGTGCTTTGAAGTCTCTCTCTCCCTGTACTCCAGCTTCCCAGCCAAAGTGTCACTCAGTCTTGTAGATCTACATTTTCTCACTACACACTTAGCAGTGTGCTAAGACCATGCCACCTTCACCTCTGTCTGCCAGTACTTAGCATAACAGCATATGTCCATGCTTCCACATGGACATTTGAAGACACAGACATAAGAGCAGGAACCATGTGAATTGAAATCTTTACATCCTGCATTCTCGGTAGCAGGCAGGCAAACAGTCAGTTCAGCTAGTAGGGTCTTTGTATTCAGACAGTGATTGTCTAGACAGTTCTAAGACCTCTGCCCTCATAGACTGGATATTCACAATAACCACAAGGGATAGACACTGTTAATATCTTCCCTTACAGAGGCTGAATTAGAGCAGAGAGGAACTAAAGAACGGGGCCACAGCTACCATGACTCAGTGTTGGGACTTCATATAGCCAAGCCACTTCCTCGACGATGGCACTGATAAGTTGACTCAACACTAATTTTTTAAAACCACTTTAGGGATTAACTGACAAAGGACAAATAAGGAATCTCTTAATACAAAGTATTCCATTAAGGGAGAAAAAGTTAAGGGCTCCTAGATAAATGCTAAAGAGGCATTTAATAAAATTAGACATGTAATTCTGATTAAAATAAGCATTCAGAACAAGGCAGAAGAATGCTGCCTTCCAGTCATCAGCCCCTTACACTGTACTTTAGGTGAAACATCTGAAAGAGATCAAAAACCGAGACAGGGATGTCAGCATCCTCCCTACCACGTGCCTGACTGGAAAAGCTCAGAGTGCAACACCAGAGGAAGAAATGAGAACGGGAGATGCACAGAGACGGCTGGCAGACGGTATGTTAATGTGCCCAGGAAATACAAAGGAATCGATCATAAAGCTATTAGAACGAAGAAGAAATTTCAGCAAAGTAACCCAATGCAAACCGTACAAAAGTCAATAAGGTTCGTCGATGCCAGTCACAGATGAAAGCAGGCTAGAGTTCCTTTCATGGCAACTACAAAGTGCGTAGTGTACACAGAAACAAACTTGGGGGGAAATGTGTAGACAGGCTCTTGGATGTAACCCATGATGTGCGACTCACCTAACATGGGTGAAGCCCTGAGATTCCATCCTCAGTGTCATGAAACAAAGGGAAGGAGGGAGGATGGGGAGGGAAGGAAGGTCAAGGTGAGCACTGTTTAGAGAAAGGGAAAAGGAAGAAATGGAGGAGGAGGGAGAAAAGATGGAAGGGGGAAGAAGGGAGTGAGGGAGGAAGGGAGGGAAGGAGGGAGGGAGGGAGGAAGTGAGGGAGGGAGGGAGGGGGGGAGGGAGGAAAGGAAGGAGGGAAGGAAGGAGGGAGGGAGAAAAACGTGTAAGCACTTTATGGAAAGTTTTACAGGGTTTTTTTTTTTTTAAAAAAATCAGGATAATTGGAGAGAAATGATGGAGTCTTGAGTGGAAAAGCCTAACTACTGAAAGGTTAATTTGTAATATTAACCTCTCAAAAAGTTATTGAAAAGCTAATTTATCCGCCTGACGCAATGCTCATCAAAAGCCGAAGGACGTATTTTAACTCTGGGAAAATGATACCTAAATTTAACTGGAAAAATGGGTTATTTGGACAATGTGTTGTCTTTTAAAGGGTAGGCAATTTAGAATTTTCATAATAAAGAATACTAAATCATATCAGGAATGGCATGTGGAATCAGTGTGGGGGGAGGGGAGTCTCAGTGATCAGATACAGCATGAGGTAGCACTAGAAGAAAAGAAAAAAGAAAGGAAGAAGAGGGAGGGAGGGAGGGAGGGAGGGAGGGAGGGAGGGAGGAAAGAAAGGAAGGGAAGGAAGAAGGACAAGACTGAGATAAAGAGTTTTTTTAACCAACAAAAAAAAATTATTTTTGGAGAACAAAATATTTAACTACTTCAGGAAATAATTATCTTCTGAATTCAGACCATATATCAAAGTAAATTCCATATAGAATAAAAGGATAACAAAGTGATTTTTTAAAAAAAAAATCCATATTATAAAGTTACAGAGATGATATAAATAAATGAGCATCTGTGGTTTTCTAATTTTCTTAAAGATATTGTAAGAGTAACTGTTTTATATAAGTGTGTATGTGTGAGTGTGTAAGTGTGTGAGTTGGTAAGTATGTACATGTGTAAGCATATGAGTGTGTATATGTGTGAGTGTGAGTGTGTGTGAAAGTGTTTATGTGTGTAAGTTAGTGTGTATGTGTGTGAGCATGTTTGTGTAAATGTATGAATGTGTGTTTGTGTGAGTGCGTACATGTGAGTATGTGAAAGTGTGTATGTATATGAGTTGGTAAGTGTGTACGTGTGTGTAAAAGGCATACAAACATTAGGTTGAAGAGTAATACCTTCATTACAGGAAGCATGAGTATTGATTACTAATAGCAGTGAACAGAACATACATGAACAATGGACAAGTTACAAACAAGATCACAAACGAAGAGAAACCAGACACCCAACCACTAGAGTAAAGAAGTAGAACTTCCATGTAACAACTTTCCAAAGGGCCCAGGTGCCCCTCCCTAAACACCCCTTTCTGCTACAGGGACCAAGATTGCTTCATCTCATGACCTTAAAAGCCTGGCAGAAGCCCAGTGATATTACAAGTCACTGATTGATTCATTCCTCTAGGTCAATCCTATGATAAGCCTCAGGAGCCTAGATCATGGACTGAATAGAGCCTCCACCCACCCATGGAAGCAGTGCTGTAACTGCCCCTTTAGGAGTGCACAGAGTGTTTCTGACATACAGACCCCTCAGAGTCTTAATATCTGACCTTGTTCAGGTCTAGTACAACCATTGATACCAACATTGCCACCATCCCCACTACTGGAGATGGATGCCAAACCTGGGGACACTGACATAGAATCTGGGAATGATTGTGGTGGTTAGAATATGCTTGGCCCAGAGAGTGGCACTATTAAGAGGTGTGGCCTTGTTAGAGGAAGTGTGTCACTGTGGGTGTGGGCTTTAAGACCCTCATCCTAGCTGCCTGGAAGTCAGCTTTCTCCTAGTGGCCTTCAGATGAAGATGTAGATCTCTTGGCTTCTCCTAAACCATGCCTGGCCCCTGCCATGTTCCCACCTTGATGATAATGGACTGAACTTCTCAACCTGTAAGGGAGCTCCCATTAAATGTTGTCCCTTTAAGACTTGCCTTGGTCATGGTGTCTGCCCACAGCAAAAAAACACTAACTAAAACAATGATCTTTCCTGCTATACAGAAAGAGAAGATCCCAAAACAAAGACCTAGCAAACACTATCCATGTCACGGGATGATGAGGGTGGAAGAGACGGAGGCAGGAGACAGAGACAACAGAGGAAGAGACCCAGAGAGCAGTCCTTAGAGAAGACAGTGACAGAAAACAAAGGATACCACCGAGAGACTACAATGAGGGTCTTGGAGGAGGTCATTCAGTTTCATATCTACATGTTCCCTCTAGAAGTAAGACCATGTAGCCTGAGAGCTCAGTCCTTGCCCCAGCG